AGCAGCAGCAGCAGCAACAGGAATGAATGGGGCTGTCAGAGACTCGTGTGTCTGTATGCATGCGCAGCAATTAGCAGCATAGGCAGCGCGTCTCCTGTTTGCTCCCCTAATAGATTTATACGTATAATACATCTTGCTGCTGCAGCACAACCATTTATAGATACAGATCCTGCTTCTTGCTGCTGCGGTACGCTGCAGCAGCCACAGCAGCAAGCAGCAGCAGCAGCTAAATTATTACCCTTACCTATACCTATTGGTGGGGTTGTTGTACTTTCTCCTCATCAGGTGTCTTGGCTGTCTCCTTATTCATTTAGTAAACAAGCTGTCTCCTCCGTAGTAAATACACATAGATCTTTTGCTGCTGCTGCTGCTGCTGCTGCTGTAGCAACAGGACCTAATATGTTATGTACACAGGCAACTTTCCCTGGTTGTGATGATATTGTATCTGCTGTGCTGCTCTCTCCTCCTGCACCAACAGCAGCAGCAGCAGCAGCAGCAGGGGATACACAGCAGCAAGATTATTCTTGTGTCTTTGTTGCAATAGATGCAAGGGGACATGTTATGCAGGGTGTATTACGTGTCTGCTTTTCCTTCAGCAGCAAAAGCAGCAGCAGCAGCAGCAGCAGCAGCAGCAGTAGTAGCAGCAGCAGCAGCAGCAGCAGCAGGAGCAGGAGGAGGATCGTAAAGAGACTAGAGGATGCGTCCCTATCTATTTGTTATATAGGGCATGCATGCGAGGCTATCCAGCTGTCTCCTTTGGGGCCCCACACCTTCTTTGCTGCATCTACATGCAGCGACAGTCTCCTCTTGGATATAGTTGAACAGTATCCAAACAGCAGCAGCAGCAGCAGCAGCAGCAGCAGCAGCAGCAGCAGCAGCAGCAGCAGCAGCAGCAGCAGCAGTGGTGGTGGTAGCGGCAGTTTAAAGTGTAGACGTATCGCTGGTTCACCAACATATTCTGCTGTTGCTGCTGCTGCTGCAGCAGCAGCAGCAGCAGAAGCAGACTGGGAGCACCAGGTGATGGTACATCAGACAGAACCGATGCAACAAGATCAACAGCAGCAGCAGCAGATGGTGCTGCAGCAGCTGAAGCAGCAGCAGCTGCTGCAGCAAAGGGGGCGTCTCCGTGTCTTGGAGACATTTAGCAACTTAGGCCCAATTGTTGATTGCTGCATTGCTGACTTCGAAGGAAAGGGACAGAGACAGGTACACAGCCTCCTGCTGCTGCTGCTGCTGCTGCTGTTGCTGCTGCTGCTGCTGTTAAGGGGGAGCTTGGGTAGACTGTCTCCTAGCTTCGTGGTAGTGGCGCTGCTGCAGCTGCTGCTGCTGTTTGCTGCTGCATTTGTTCTTCTTGTTTACGTCCTTAATGCATATTGCTGCTTTTGCTGCTGCTGCTGCTGCTGTGTTTGCTGCTGCTGTTGCTGCTGCAGTTGGCGGTTTGCTGCGGCAGTGGGCCTAGTGGTGCTGTACGTTTTGTAAGAGACGGTCTCTTCTTGCATGCAGCAGGGACAGCAGCACTGCAGCAGCCAATAGAGGGACTATGGTGTCTCCGTTTGCTGCGCTCCTCCTGCTTGCTGCTGCTTGCTGCTGTCTCCTTACCTCATAAGACACTGCTGCTGCAGTGGAAGGCATCACCAGACAGCAACCCAGATGCAAGTTAGTCCTGCTGCTGCTGCTGCTGCTGCTGCTGCTTCTGCTGTTGCTGAGTTGGTGTTGCTGCTGCCGTTGGTGCTGCTGCTGTTGTCTTTGTGTCTCCTGCTGCTGTCTGTGGCTCTGTACAGCAAACAGCTTCCTTGCTGCTGTCGCTGCTGCTTTTGCTTCCCCTGTTGCTGTTGCTCCTTCTGTTGCTGCATCTGCTGCTGCTGCTGCTGCTGCTGCTGCTGCTGCTGCTGCAGGAGCCATATTTGCATCTCGTGGATGGGGAGAGACAGAAGGAGGAGGGACACTAGAGGGTTTAGAGAAAGCAGGAGACTTTGTTTGCTGCCAGCCGTCTCTTCTTTGCTGTGTCTTTGGAGCAGCAGCAGCAGCAACAGCAGCAGCAGCAACAACAACAGCAGAGGACACACATATGCTGCAAGACATTGAGGAGACACATAAGCAACAAAATCCATCGGCAGACACTTCTATGGTTGTCTTACAGGTAACGTGCTGCTGCTGCTGCTGCTGCTGCTGCTGCTGCTGCTGCTCTTGCTGATGCTGCTGCTGCTGCTGTTGTTCGTTCTTCTGCTGCTGCAGCGGTTGCTCTTGTTCCTGCTGCTGTTTCTCTTGCTGTTGCTCGTGCTCCTGTCGTTACTGCTGTTGCTGCAGTTGTTGCATATGTATATATCTTTATACAATTTGCCGCATACCTGCTGCTGCTGCTGCTGCTGCTGCTGCTGCTGCTGCTGTTTAGGTATTAAAGAATGGCCTTGTAGCATTAGAGGCAGAAGAGGCGTCTCTTTCTTTACGAGCTGCGGTGTACGTACACCTAACTGTCTCCTCATCAGGAGACACAGCAATT